AAAAAAAAAAAAAAAAAAAAAAAAAAAAAACACAAGGCGGGTCTCCCCATGGACGAAATGAAACCGTAAAGCCGGGGCCCAAAGCCCGGAGAAGAAATCCGCAGAAAAAAGACCCACGACTCATGCGTAGAAGAAAAAGAGACCCCTAGGCTCTGGCCATGGAAGTGGATATCGATGATGGATAAAGAGCCGCTGTATGTCATTTGAACAAGGGGAATCACAAATGAAAAGGAAATATTAGTAAGTGGAGCAAAGGGAATGTCTCAACGCCAGGATCAAATGAGAAAAGACAAGAAATAGAAAAGAGGAAATGGCGACAAGTGGTAAAGAGCATCCAGGCAGATAAGAAAAATGGCACACTTGATATCCGTATTACAAGCCATGTAACGTGCGATCTAAATATCGAGACATCCTCAACTCCATAAGTTCTTCGCGAGGTCATTAAATGAGACCGCAGAGTCTGAGGTTCTCCTGAATGATGATATCTGGAAGCAGTTAGCATTGGAGGTTTCATGGCTAAGACAGGGGCGAAGACGTGAGACATACCGTTGACCGCAGCCATGACGAAGCGGATTTGTGTGGTATCAGTGGCACATGTGAAGTGAGTGTAGATCTGCTTCTGCTCGGCCTGGTTCAGAGACACGAAGCGGTTGAGGATGTAGTCGCAAGCGGCGGCATAGTCGGCACCGCCCTCGTAGTCGGGGAAGTAGTTCTTCATGGGGCTGACGGGCAGCTTCTCCTTGAAGCGATCGATCTTGTTGAGGAAGAGAATGATGGAGGTCTTGACGAACCACCGCGAGTTACAAATCGAGTCGAACAGAGTGAGCGCTTCCTGCATACGGTTGACGGTTTCATCTTCGAACAGCAGCTGGTCGTATTCAGAGATGGCGACCAGGAAAAGAATGGTGGTGACGTTTTCGAAGCAGTGAATCCACTTCTTACGCTCAGAACGCTGACCACCGACGTCGAACATACGGTAGGTCAAGTCGCCAATAATGAAGGTGGTCTCGGTGATACCGGTAGTCTTGACACGAGAGCGAAGGACATCCTGGTCGGTGGGGAGGTAGTCGGGCTGGGCAATACGCTCAACAGCGTCGAAGTAGCTAGGAGAGTTAGCCTGGAAAACAACTACCCGTGTAACCTTTGAAAAACTTACTATTTAGCAGAGTCGTTCAGCTGGTATTCGCGCGAACGCTTGAAACAATCCTGAACACCCGAGTCGCGCCACAAAGCACCAATGGCGTTGCCAACCTCCGGAGGAAGGCTGTCACCTTCAATCTGAGCGGGTTGCATGAAGACAGTCTGCACGTGGTACTCGTGACGGGCGTCCTCGAGGGGCAGTTCGAGCGACTCCATGGCTTCCAGAATGACACGCATGGACTGGACAGTGTTGCTGAAGATGATTTCCTTGAACGATTCCCGCTCATCGCGCGAGTAGCCACCCTCGTGGATGAGCTTCATCTGTTTCAGAATAGTCGACTTGCCCGATTCACCAGCACCTGCGATGGTCAGAACCTCACTTTCACCACAAACCAGGAGAGAAGTGCCTACCCAGCAGGAGCATCTTGATTTCGTTTCTCTGCATCATCTTGTCGCGCTTGAGCTGGTTCTCAATCTCCTCGTTGCGTTGCTTGCCCTCCTTGTCCTCGGTACTCATTCCGCAACCCATTTTGGCGGTAGTGTCGTAGCGGTAGTTTTATGTAAACGAAGGGTAGTAAAATCGATAGAAGGGTCGTAAAGGAGAGGTGAAGGATTGTCTCAGAGACTAAGGCAAAAAGGCAAACATCAACACTCTGCTTAATTCTCCGCGGCGACGTGCCTGTCGTACAAGCGCGACCAAGCAGATTGACCGTGTCGGAAGCAAGGGCGATTGGCAGCTCCGACGGACCAACCGGATAATAGAATTTAGGGGGAGAAGAAGCATTCTGTGAAGCTTCTTCTTCATCAGGGACTTACATTTTCTTATCAGAAGACGCGATTGTCGAAAAGAGAGGATAGTAGTAGATGGAAAGTATTCAGGGAGTTCGAAAGAACGGAGAGGAGGAAGAAGAGATATTATTATTAAGGCGTCGCAACCTCGGACGGGAAGTGGGTTTAAGAGAAAGAGAAGGCGACAAAAGAATAAAGAACGGGATCTTTTGAGGAATAAAAACAAACCCTCAATTCAGCAGTTCGAGAACTGATGAAGAGAAAAGAAGAAAAAAAAAAAAAGAAAAGAAAAAAAAGAGAAACTGGAAAGGATGAAGAGAAGAAGGAGAAAAGAAGAAAGACAAGGCAGAGACACAGACAAGAGAAAGCCCGGAGAGTGAACAATTGAGAGTAAGGGGCGAGAGGAGGGGCTACGCTTTGTGATTGGCTCGTTGCAGAAACGCTTAGCGTGGCTCCAGTGGAGGGTTTTCATTACGCGGTTTTACAGAGACCGGTGTTACGGATTTTATTGGTGGACATGGCTAAGGGGCTCCCATAGGGTCCGCTCGGTACATTTCTTGGCCAATCATACACAGTATCCCCTATTTAGTGGACCAAGTTAATACAGTCTAATACCATACTTACAGCACCTACCTACTACGGAGACTACTTCTATCGCTCTATGCAGAATACAAGTATAGAGACTCTGCATACTACTCGTATAAAGTGAAGATAACCGAGATGAAATCAGAAGATCCAGCAACATGAACGAAAAAAACGGCAATCTGGTTGAGAACACGATAGATCACTTGCTCTCACTATGTACTTGTGCTTCATTTTTCAGGAGTTGGAGTTGCTGATGATATTTCCGCAGATCTGCTTAACTCCGTGGTTATCTTTGCTACAGTTCAAAAGGCACAGAGTTGCCCCTGTTATCCACTGCCACTTACTCAGTTCCGAGTGACTCGTTTCAGATTGACTGAATCCAAGAATAAAGAGTGAATTAACCATGTCTCTATACTACTTGTATATACTTGTACGTCAGGAACGAGGTGCAAGTGATGTGTCCAGCCAGACATGTGGTTCTGACTCGTCTCCTCATACTTGCATGGTACCTTATCCACCTCCCCTTAACTGTCCGTCGATCTCTCCGCAACAATAATCTTGTCTTGCCCAGTATTTGGGGCTCATTTTACGGAATACGGAGTCAGAACAAAACTTATGAAGCATGCAAAACTAACTAACTCTGATATGTGCATAATTCGATTGTCTTGGATGCACTGCTTGTTTACTGGGTATTTTACTGACTCGGAGTGCAGACACCCCTGATGCACATCTCCACCACCAACCTTCTAGTCGCCTTCGGTGCAGATGCTGACATAAAGTCTTCCTCCGCGACTATTGTTCCAGAGTTTGAGGTCACCACATGGCATGATCTTTATGGAGTACAGGGCATTTTATGCTCGGTAACTCTATTAATATTAAAGTGGATGTGATTCCTGATGTTCGCAGGTATTGGCCCACAGTACGGAATAGAGTCGATATGAATTCCGGAGTACGAAGGACATCCAGAGTATCCAGGGGAAGGCATTACATCCGTATCATGCTCAGCAACCTCACAGGCAGATGTTAACAATCAATGATTCCGACCGACTGATAGAATCATTCCGTCTTGTTCTTCCCGCTGAAGACGATCGACAATTGAGTCGGTCGCTAAGTTATATTTGACCATAGTGGGCACTTCGCAAGCTCAAATAGATCATTTGCCCCAGTACACCATTGGTTTTGAGGGCATTGTTTATCAGCACCAAGTAAATAAAGCAATACCCAGAGATTAATCGATAATTTACATGGACATAATTTTCACAACTTTCGAATTTGTCACGCTACGATGAATCTATCCCAATCAGTGACAAGATCGAATGTCTTGATCTCTCAGCGAATGGTCGTGTGGCACTGGACCCCAGACTCTGCGATAGTATACCCAGTACGAAGTACAAGTCAACGTCGCATTCACGAAAACTCACAGAATGGTACTCTGTACCAACACTGGGGATAGTGTGTTCTCTGCCGACCATGGTACCGATTAATATTCCGTAGATGGGGACGAACTTGTCGTCCCATGGTTTCGGAGGCAATAGCTAAAGATTGGATTTGAGTTCGCAGCAGGAACAGGAAGGTGTCTACTCTGTATCGGGTTCTAATTGGCCACGCTGTACAGACATGGTGCAGTACACACGAGTACAGTTTCTATGGAGAAGACCGAAGTCGATATCCCCAGTCACGGAACTCAACTCCAGCATCGCACATGGTGGCCACATACTCCGCAGAGATCCTGAATACAGTACAGACAAAGGAACCCAGATGGAACTTCAGTAATCGTAGCCATGGAAGCGGTAAAGAAAACGTACTAAAATGGAATGCTCCGAGTAATCCACGGAACCGAGGTTGACCCAAAGAAAAAAAAAAAAAGAAAAGAAAAAAAAGATCGGGACGATCGACCGCCGATGCTCCGATTCCCCTTGGGCCCCAGACCAGATCTGGCCGGATTCATTTCCTCTTCATTATTGCAAGCCTTGTTGACTCAATTGACCCGAAATTGGGCCATTATATCATTAACAAAGTTATTTAGTACATAACGACACACACATATATATATATATATATATATATATAATCACCATGCATCACGAAATGTCCCACATGGGCCCTCGGGGTATGTCCATGCCTATTGTTCTGCCAGCGCGTCTCGTCTCGTCTCGTCGCTAACACTGCCCAACGCCATACAGCCTTCAACCATGACCAAAGTAACGACTCAGAAGCCGAATATGACCGTCTCCGCGACCTAGCCAGACAAGAAGCCTCCAAGCGCGGTTCATGCTTTCAGCGGGTGCGCCTCCTTTTCTACAACACCTTTCCGATCAGTCAATGTTGATTTGAGAATCGTCTAGTCCCAAGATGCCTACACCAGCGGCGACGGTGCCGCGGCCAAGGAGCTCTCAGAACAAGGCAAAGCGCACGGGCGCAAGATGGAGGAATACAACAAACAGGCGTCCGAGTTTATTTTCCGTGAGAACAACGCGAATGGTCGTGTCGCGGCGGATACTATTGATCTGCACGGGCAGTTTGTTGAGGAGGCGGAGGATATCCTAGAAGAGAGGATTAAGTACGCCAAGTCGCATGGGCAGAACCATCTTCATGTGTACGTTTCTTCCCTTCTATCAGCTCCCCCAGTCTGGCCTGCTGCGACAAAACAAAGTAGCTAATGCAAACTAATGGAACAGCATCGTCGGCAAAGGAAACCACTCCGCAAACCACGTCCAGAAAATCAAGCCCCGTGTCGAAAAGGCCTGTCGCGAGATGGGCCTGCAATACGCCACCGAGGAAAACGCCGGTCGTATCTACGTTAATCTCACTGGTGGTGCCGCCGATCTGGGCTCCGTCCCTTCGCCCTACGACCACCAGCACCAGCAGCAGTCCTCGCACCACCAGTACCCCAGCCAGCAGTATCACCAGCAGCCGCACCAGCAACAGCAACAGCAGCAGCATGGCGGACAGAACCAGCAACAGGACGGGGTCGAGCAGGTGGTCAACGCCATCTTGCCGCGTGTGTTGCGCAAGCTGGAGAAGGCTTGCTGTGTGGTTATGTAAAGGCGTCCAACAACGTGTCGTCGTTTCGCTACAGTTTCGCTATGTTATTATGCTATATTGGTATCTATACTTGATACGATTAATGCTTTTTGGTATGATGAGGTTTTCATCTCATAGTTGGATTGGTATACCCCGGGCTTTTTATTTTATCTGCTCAGTTTCAGTATCTATATACCTGCGGGAATGATTTCTGTTTACTAGGTTTCAGACACTTTATATATAAAGATGTATTTCCCATGTTCTCATTTCGCTTTCAGAATACAAGTCCAGGCTTATATCAAGGGTATATGTAGTTAACGGTAACCAACGGCAAAACATAATCCAAAACACGTCCGAAAACAACAAAAGAATCACCGAGCTTCGTTTAATGTGGTCTCCGTGATCTTATCCAGAATAGCTCGCACCATTGCCCCGTCGCCTTGTGCATCACCACTGGAGTCGATCTCATCGATCAAGGTTAACGCCCGACCACGCAGATCCCGAACCACCTGTCGCGTATATGCGAAACTCCCTGTACTCTCCATATAACTTGTCGCATACAGCTTCACCTCCTCATCCTTAGTCTTCTGCTTCAGGATACTGATGAGTTGGTGATTCCCTGGATCTGACTGAATACTATGAATAATAGGGAATGAGAACTTTCCCTCTGTCAAATCCTCACAAAGGCCCTTGTTCTTGGTATATGTTGTATTTGACAGATTCAGATAGTCATCGCAAATCTGAAATATTAACCCCATCACATTCACCAGGCTCACACAGTCTTTCCCTGTGCTGCTCTGAGCTTGCATCAGTTTCACTGCGAGTCTGAAGAGTCCGCCGGTTTTGTTCCCAACCATTTCTAGGTATTCATCTTCACTGGGACAGGTGAGGGTTTCGCGCCAGAAGAGGTCCATTCCTTGGCCGCGATGGAGGTTCAGGAGTTCTTGGGTGTAGATGTCAATAGAAGTGGGGCTGTTGAGTTTCTGGGCTTCTTGGAGGGCGAGGAAGTAGACGTAGTTGGCGGAGTTGATGGTTTGCGCAGTGCCAAAGATGTTATGCGCTACAGGGATTCCGCGTCGGAGGATGGAGTTGTCTTCGACGTCGTCAATCCTACATGGAAGATCCATTAGTCTCAGTACCAGGATAGAAAGAAACTTTTCGGGTAGATAAGGTTCAAATAAAGGCAACCTACAGCAGAGAAGCTGCATGAAGCATCGCCACCACCTTGTTGATGATGGTCAGACTTTCTGGAGGGACCTTCAACCATGCGTTGAAGGCATGGATGAGCTGCCGCCTGATATCCTTCCCTGGATGCTGCTGCATATATTCGTATGGCCCCATCAGAATCCGCTCATTTTCCTCCGACCACTGTCCGTCTTTATGTTTGGTGCCATCTAAGCTTGACCGATTCCGCTTGTGTCTGCCCGCGCCATCTGGGACAGAGGTATCTGTAGTCTGTAGAGGCCCTCCATTCATCTTTGTTGGTCTAGAATCCATATCATAATCTTCAGATTTCGGTATCATCATGTCTGCTGCGCGATTTGTGGCGCCTTGTTTGCTAGATCGCATGTGCTGGCGGAACTGCCACCGATGACGACAAAATGCAGGGGCGGTCAGCGAATCTGTGCTAGAGCAGTCAACGTCCTAGCGCTGTATTCGGTAAATTGGTCTCGCTGCTTGTTAACAAAAAAAAAAAAAAAAAAAAAAAAAAAAGATGTTGAGTTGCGCGGGAGAAAAGAAGATAGACATCCTGTTGTCTGGATGGAGGGGCAGAGATTGGATATCACATGCACCCCGCATATGCGCTGCGCAATGCAATGCCATTATTTCTCCCTCTCGTGACATCCCAAGACAGCTCCTATGTACTATGTAATACTCCGTAGCCGTTATTATTTGGCATGAAGTCATTAATTGAGCCGTTTTATGTCGATGAAACCGACCGCTGCAAGGATAGCGTAATTGTATGATTGATATGGTCCGTGTGAGGACATTCCTCCTTCATAGACCGCAAGGTCAGCCACCAGCTGAAGAAAGACAACAAGCCATTGCCAGCTGGCAAATAATGGGCCCTGTTCATCAATATGGTCCAATAAGCCCCCTCCATTCATATTCCGATCCATCAAGGACCTTTCACCTGGTCCAAACGGGAATCCATCGACAAACAGGGCGCTGGGTCACCCGGGGCAACGACATTGAACAAGGAAGATAAAAGAGGATCCATGATTGACGCTCGTCCCGGGAAACGAATCAAGGCATTGGAGAATTTATCGGAGGTGAGCGCGAAAAGAAGATTATATTAAGTGAAAATCAAAAACTGGGGACGCGGTGAGCATCGACTATCCGAACCAGATCTTATTTATTTTTTGTATAGTTCCCGTTCATCCACTACGATCACTGCTACTATTCCTCTCTACATATCTCTTCTTTTATCGGGTCGCACGCTTTATTATTTGCTTTATTTTACTTCCTTACAGTTTCCTTAGCTTCATCTACTATCCGGTTCCCGTCTAGTGTTACCCTGAAACCCTCATGGAGACGTTGTTGGCCCATTCGTTCGATTACCTCTCTTCATACGAGCCCAGCAAAGTGCGCAAAGGCCTGCGCCAGGTTGAAGGTCTTCTCGCACAGATATGTCTCTCCAAAGCGAAACAGTCGCCAGTCGTGCGAAAGAGGTCAATGATGGGAATGAGTTCGCCCCAGCCGGCTGCTAGACCGCTATCAGAGATCAAAGACGACCCTGCGTTTCGAGAGTTTTTCAAACTACAAGAAGGGTTTCAGTGGAACGGTAAGTCTTCTCGCACGGTCTTCTTTATTTCAGATAGATTGAAACTGACGAACTTAGTGGCGATGCGACTGGTCACTTGTCTAGAACATTTGCTAGGCCGCGGGAGCAATGGCACCAACGACCTGCTCATCCTCGCAACTCTCGACCTCATCCAAGGTGCTCTTCTCCTACATCCGCCGTCGCGAACTCTTTTCGCCCGTGAAATCTACATGAACCTACTGCTTGACCTCCTCGATCCGATTAATTGCCCCGCGATCCAATCTACAACCCTCCTCACCCTCGTGACGGCCTTGCTGGACAACCCGGCCAACACACGCACCTTTGAACAGCTCGACGGTCTGCTCACAGTGACATCCCTTTTCAAGCAGCGCGCAACATCGCGAGAGGTAAAACTCAAGCTCGTCGAGTTCCTCTACTTCTACCTGATGCCCGAGACCCCCACCAATCTCCCCAGCCCGGGGATGCAGCGCAGAGGTCCACATTTGCGGAGCCCCAAAGGAAGCCGTCACTCAGCAAACGGGAACCGAGCCACGCGCATGACAGATGAGAAACAAGCGCTGCTGGGGAGGTATCTCAGTAACGTGGCGGATTTGGTCGAGGACCTCAAGGAAACGGCACCCTTTGGAGCGACTGTCTACTGAGGTCGACTATGGAATACGACATGCTACGCACGATGTTAACGGTCTCGTTTATGAGCTTTGCATTTGAGCGAGGGAGTGAGGGCATTTTGCTTGCATTATTTGGATTATGCCTGCTAGGTCTAGTTACACTTTACTTTTCTCTTCCATTTTCTTCTTACTTTCTTTGGATCTCCTATTCCCATTCTATTCGTCCCGTCAGGCACGGAAGTTCGCGTTCTTTTTTGATCCTTTGGTCCTTACTCGCCTGATCATTATGCTATGGAATTCCATTTGAGCTGGTGTCGTTGGTTATGATTCTTATCTGGTTGCTATTGAGATCATATCGTCTAACGTGGACGATATCATGTCCTGCTACATTAACCCTCCGCGTCATAGGGCTGGGATATATGATGGTAACGGAAAACAGCACGAGAGCCAAGCGAGGGCAATTTAGTACTTTGATGTTTATGACACATGAAATACACAAGACTCAAGTTCAAAAATCTTCGAATTCTTCTTCTATTCCTCCTTAGATTCTACCTTGAGAAAGATGTGTATAAGAGTGGAAGTTAGTTCCGCATGACATAGTATCACATAACGCTGGTAATATACATGAGCCTTGAAAGAGAAAAGGTGCCTAGAAGTATTTTAACAATCGCTCCCGATGCTGCACCAAATTCTTATACTTCTTCAACAATTGTCCCAACCGGTCCTGCTTCCATCCCATTCCCTCATCCAAGATCAGATGCGTGTATGCGAAGACGCTAGCATCAAACAGCCCGGGCTTAGGACGGTCGAAGAAGTTTTGCTGGTTCCCTAATAATGTCGACAGAGCCTCGAATGCGTTATCTGCCTCTGCTTCCAAATCACTGACATCGATGTATTTGTACGACTTGAGGAGCTCGTCGCGCGCGGCTTGTCGTAGCTGGTAGCTTAGAGCGGACTGGACCACCGAGCTGGTAGTGGCTGGGTCAACGTATAGTGTCCATGCGACAGCGTCAAAGTTTTCCGGGTCTAGGTACAAGGCGTATAACTGGGTAGCCGTATGTTAGTCCTGGGGACATATTTGAGGACATGATGAAATAAACATACCCAAGCATTCCGTATCCGGTGATCCAACAGCGATGCGTATACGTCAAACCGGACATTCAGTTGCTGCTCCTCTTCGCAGTGCACCTGCTCAATGGCCCATTTTTGCACTTTGCTGGCTGGGATCGGGACGTGTGTGTTCAGTGGAAGGGCGGGAAGGACGAAAGGGAGGGCTCCCGTCGGGGATGCGTGGTTGTTCGAAGGTACGACCTCGAAGTCAATGCCGACGAATTTCAGATATGCCTGTAACATTTATCAAATTGTTTATTAGCTCTTTACGATTCTGTCTGTAAATAAACAATGGCGCCGCACTAACCTGCCACTTGAGACATTGCGGGTTGAACGACGGTCTCCCACGTCGGGCATTCGTCGCATCTGTGAATATAAACAACCGATTGCCCTGTGCGTTCGTCCCTGTCCGTTCAGGAAGATCATTCGGAGGATATGTGGTCAGAGGAAACCGGTCGAAGATGCGTTTTATCGGGGCAGGGACGGAGAAGAATTCGCGGGTGCGCGCAACGACATTGTCCGACATTGTGAGGGCTTCTGTGGCCATGTAGAGGGCGGTATATGAAGATTCAATCTGTCCCTGACAGGGTCTCAAATCTCAAAATGTATATTCTGAGTCTAGTGAGAATGACGCCCACCGCGCAACATCATAGTCGTTAGAAGTTAATTGATTACGGCCCGGTTCCGCGGCGACGATAACTCACCGCCTTCAGGAACCAGCAATTGCGAGATCCCGGCAGAAAAACCGCGACCCCGCGATTATTATTGAGTGAATCAGCATACATACATAACTAGTTACCACCGCAGGGATTATTTATCCAATTCCCCTCTCTGGACGTTCAAGCGTTGCTGGCGGGGTTTTCGGGTCTTCCCGTTAGCTCCTTTCATTGTGATTCACGTCATTTTCTTCCTTTATCTTTACCCGACCTTTATTAGCACTTCCGCCGCATGATCCGCCCGATCTCTCGACCGACCTTTCGTCGCACCCCAGTAACACATCTCCCGGGGTTGTTTGGATCGAAGCATCGTTTGCTTGCGTTTCTTGGCTTATGTCCAATGAAAACCGAGGAGCTTTAAATTAAGGAACCGGGGTTCTATGGTCGCAGATGTCATTTTAAACCCTGTAAAGAACCGATCGCTCACTCATCATGCCGCTCGACGAAGAGGGTGCAAAGTGGTCCTGGTACGAGTCCTCGTCTGATTTTAGTATTTATCTATACTGATAAGTCTTTGGTTTCTAGTGAACCATGTATCCGGGGCCATCGATCGTCAAAATGCCAGCATTTCGATCGACTGATGATGAAAGTCCCGAAAGCTGGACGCCCATTGGCCAAATGCCCCCATCCCAAAGGAACGTGCAGTTGTAAGAAGACATATGCAGTGATGGTTCGCATTCCAAAAGGTTAGTCGCTCAACCGCTATCTGTATCATGTTCGCGCGTGCTTACTGTTGTCCTAGGATCAACCTGCATGTGTCGACCGTTGTACGAGGTGCCTATTGAAGATGAAACCGATCGTGCCCCTACCCGTTCGACGACAACGCCAGTTACAATCGCTCCGGCCATTACTCCAAGCTCGGTTGCGCCGACTCCTCCGCCCGCCATAGGAAAGATCCAGAAAGCTGGAAGAAGGCAGAGCAACCTTCAGGCGGCCCCCGAAAATATTGCTAGAGCGTTGGAATCCATTGCCAAAGCGGAAAACCAGCGTTCCGAGAACGGCGAACCCAGCGATTTGCCCTCATACGCTCCGCAGAATCAAAGCTTTCCGACCCCGTACGGTCCGCTGGGCCAACAACAGCCGACTGTGACCCAGGACCAATCCTATGACAGTAGCGCAGCCACGGCACCCCAGAGTAAAAGCTGTTGCTCGGACAAAGCGGCCGCGAAACCAACTCAACCGCCACCTGAGAAGCCACCTGAACAAGGTTCTTGTTGTGGAAAGCAAAAACCGAAATTGGAACAACCCGGCGCATCCACACCTGGACCAGAAGAAAACGGCACCAACAATCATGCAACATTAAACGGTTCAACAGCAAATGACTTACTTTACCCTCCCTTCCCTGCACCACCGTGGCAGAATTTCCATGCTCCCGGTCATGGTAACTTGGTTCAACCCTTTCCGGTTCATCAACCACAAACTCAAGCACCCGTTTATTTTCCTCCTACATACGCGACATCGTCGGGCTATCCGTACCAAAACATACCACACGGTGTCGGGTTCACACCAATGGCCATGCCAGCTTTTCCGTCGACCCAACCTCAGAGCATTTCATATACGTCGCCCACTGCTGAATGTTCGGAGCACGTATGTCATTGCGGCGATGGTTGCCAGTGCCTGGGGTGCGCCTCTCATCCATTTAACAATACGACGAGACAACACGTTCAAGAGATGGGTCTTATAGTAGGTCTTAATGGTGAAGAGAAAAACCGACACTCTCCATATTCCACGAATGCCGCTCCAACGCCGCTGGACTACTCCGTTACCGCCATGAACCACAACCTGGACACCGGAGTTCCATCCAAAGCCATGAACCATTACTCGGGACAGACTCATCCCCACCACATGGGCGGGGGCTACTCGCCTCATTTCGGCTATGCACCAGACCAATTCATGGAACCCTCCCAGTACTACACTCTGGAGTACCCAGTGGGATTGCCAAGTTCCTGCTCCGATGTGACTGGCAGTTGCCAATGCGGAAATGACTGCAGCTGTGTTGGTTGTCTGACGCATAATGGCCACAACGGTTTTACTCTCCAGCCGCTTCCAACAGAAAGTGTTGGCTTCCACGCCAGCCCACCGGCTCAACAATCAAGCCCCAAATTGTCGAGAGATCCCTCCGCTCCTTTGCCTAGTCTGTAACCAGTCTTCATTTGGTCTTCCGGCTTGATGGTGATGCTTTTACTTTCAACAGATTTCCAATTTGCATTAATGATGATCATGATACCCCTGCGATAGATACCTGAAGCCAAGGTTATTAGGTACACTTTTCTTTTCTTTTGTCTTTTTTTCGTCTCGTGTCTCTTTCGGTGCTTGGGCTCAACTGGAAAATGGGAACATCTATGGGCGTTATTCTCCCCTCTTCTGTTTGAGTCTGCTTTTTATCTTGTATATCTTCTTTGCATACTTTGCCATTTTCACAGTTCTCTTCAAGTCTTATGGTCAGAATTCTGGGCTCCTTAGAAGTTCCTAGAACTGACGCTTGAATATATATAAAGCTTTCACCCATTGAGTTGGGTTCAAAACGCATTATTCTCCATCGTTGAGTAAGATTAACCTGAAAAATATTGGCTCACATGAGCATTTTACTGAAAATACGGAACTATCATTGGACGATACTTCTGATACGGAGTAGAGAGCACAGAAATAGGAAGAAAAAGAGTAAATTGTCACCATGCTAAAGTCAGGCTCATACAGAATAAAAAAAAGCAAAGATACCTCATTTTGCCAGAGGATCTCCATCTAACTTGTTCGCAGCTGTACAGGTATCGTACATAATAATTTTATCCATCTACCGACGCAGCGCATCTCTCAGAGGCGAGTCGCCCCGGCGGAAGGAAGCTACAACATCACATGTTAGTCAAATGTCTCTCTGAGTGTTACTAGACCGAACTGGCCCATAAAGCACTCCGGGGATCGTTGACATACAGTCTGCCTCTTCCCATGCACGTCCAGCTCCGAAACCAAGACCAACCCACGCGGGCCACGCTCTGCGCTTGAACAGGAGAACCGAGAAGACAACACCGAACGACAGACCGAGCGAAGAACGGATAAGCACCGAGGAGATGGCGCGATCCCACTAGACACAGAAAAGAGGGCCGTATTAGCAGACTGTTTGATGGAGGGGCACGTGTGTGTAGGGTTCAATTGGGCGTTGCGGATTTCTCTTCCGCCCGTCCAATGTCTATCGAAAGATACGTCCCGGGTATGCCACCGAATTGCAAGATATCTAGCACAATATGACGCCGTACCTTCTCGTTCAGCAAGGCCTCGCTGACGGGCTTGGTCGATCTCTGGACCGGCACAACCGGCTTGGATTCGTTGGAGTCGGCCATTGCGATAGTAATTCTAGTCGAGGGATGTCTCTGTTAGTCCTTGTATCGAGTTAATCGAGTGTGAGTCCACTTACTATCTGCAACAAGCAAGAAAATACGGCAGGGTTTTGGTGATGGCGGAGTAGGAATAGGTCGGGTGCGATGTCCGTCTCGGGCAGAGCTTCTGCCGGGCGAAGGCGGTCGGAAAAACTAGGCGTTTTGGGAGGCGTGCCGGCGTTTCTGTCGTCAGTCGGGCTTCTTTTTTTTTTTTTTTTTTTTTTTCTTCTTCGTCTCCAGTCCTTTCTTGTTTTATACGTTCTGCACTCAGACAGTATAGAACAAGACGAGTTGGTTGCTAATGTGCCAGACGATTGAAATACCTGGGAGCATTCTTTAGACCGACTCGTCTGGTTTTTCTTTCGTGATGCCGTCAGTTGCGGAGGTGAGTTTTGAGTTTCCTATCAGAGATCTGGGACAAGAGGAATGTGGCTAATGGCTGTGCTTATTTGCAGCGTCCGCGCTCGTCGCAAGAGGCCCTGCTGCGACTAGAAAAGGGCACCGCCTCCCCGACTAGCCAACTCAACGAGGCAACCCAAATTATCGGTCTTGATCTGGCTTTATGCGCCAGTCATCCGGAAATCAATAGAGCCGCGCAAATCCGACACAATGCGGCCCCGAAGGAAGAGTGGGTTCTCCGGTGGCTTTTGAAGAAGTTGCGGACAGGGAAAAATTATCGTGTTGAGTCGGCTTCGTTCTTACTTCTACGGCAACTCGTGGATCTTATACCCCCGAAAACCTTGGCGACGACGTTGAAGGACCAGAAGTTCCTTGTGATTCTGAACGATACGATTTCCGATCTGGAGGAAGATATTTTTGCTAGTGTTGAGAATGGAACGGCAGAGTTCTTGTGCTCGGAATCGGAGTCCAGCCAGACGGTGGGGGATGTGCCGGAGCCAAGGTCGAAGCGTGATAAGAAGGGAACAAAGAGGAAGAGGGCCGGTCAAAATGGTGACGGGGACCAAGGGGATGCAATGGATACCGACGAATCGCCGCAGTCGCCAGCCTCATGTTTTTTGACTTTCATCCGCTTACTGGACTGCCTTTACAGCATCGTGACGCTAGCGAATCGCACGCTTGCCCTTGATGAAGTGGCCAGCTCTCATCTGAAACATGCGCTCAGAGGTGAACCGGAGTCAGTTGCTACGTTGTTGTCCAAGTCGTTCAGATTGGCTGCTCTCGCTACTACCCAGTTTTCGCACGGACGAAAGACGACTGATCTCCAGCACTTGCTCTACGTTCTTCCGGCAATTTTGGAACTGTGGGAATTAAGGTCATTCCGTCGAGATGATTCTGAGAACAATTCTAGCAACGATTGTTTTGCGAAGCACTGTTTTCAACATGCGATGCGACTTCAGCATTGCGTGCGTTCCGCTCAACTCGACACTGATGAGAGAGCGCAGGTGCTGCAAGGAGTTGAGCGCATAATTGCACGTCATGTTGTGCTTCCTGCGCGTGAAGGCTTCTTCAAGAGAGGAGGTTCAGGGATAAATTATTCTTCAGCCGATCCGGACTGGACTCCCGTCAAGCCAATCACCGATGCATTGAAGCCAATTATTTGCGACACGGTATCCGCCACAGAGAAGACTACGGAGAGAGCAGATGCTATGAAGAAGAAAGGTCTTTGGAAGACAGCCGAACTTTTACCCAACTTTTTCGAAATTGCGTCGCGTTCTGTTCCTCGAGACACCTTCAGGCTCCAGACACACGAAGCTCCTTGGTTGGAGACCTTGTTCGTTGCCGTAGCTGAGCTTGCATTCTCCATTACCAAAGAGGATAACCCAGCTACGTACTCTTCTGACTTTGTACTGCTTCTCGAACGACTATTCCGTGTGGTCCTTGATCGGAAAATTCAACTGTCTCTGCACACCCTGCTCACCCATGCTGCATACACCGGTCTCCTCAAGAACGAGCTAACACAGGTTCACTGGAACCTGACAGCGTTGCTCATTGAATTGGGTGTCGACATTTTCCTGCCGAATTCGGGCCTTCCGGATGCTGTCAATCTCTTGAATGCTTTACTTCAGAAGATCTTGCTTCATTGGAAGAGCAACGAGTCCCACCTGGATTCCGATTACGAACTGATCAAGAGTGGGATTGTGATTCCTTTGCTGCGGGGGTTCACAGCTGCGAGAGATTTGCCGACATTCATGCAGTTATGGTACGAACAGCTCATTGCCATGGAGGAGGCGCGTTCCCAAAACAGCAACTTGGGTTCTTTCACAGTATGGGAAGATGATGATTTGTGCAACGTCTACAGTGAAGTGATGCGGAATCCTCTCACTAATGCACACTTCCAAGCGCAATTGCGAGCAGCTTCGGTTGAGATTCAGCACGAAGATGGTCGGGTGTCCGACTCAGCCGGGTCCTATGCGCAGTTCGTGATATTGGAAGCGGGCATGAGAAAGCGGAATTTGAATTTTGAAGACGCTAATGAATCTTTGCATTCTATCATCGGAATTGCAACATCGACCTTATCCTCTAAGCAAACGCTGCATTGGAGATGGCGGCTGTGGAGATTTGCTCGGGACCTGTTGGAGAACAACCTGCAGTCCACCGACAATCCCTTCGGTCACGCCGTGATGAAATTGACCGATGTTGCTGCAAAGGCCATCCAGCGGCACCGCAAAGACCAAATGAAGAAGCCACGTGCGGCATTGGAGTCTTTCGAAGCATATCGATTTTCTCTCGTGGCTATCAAGGAGTCTATCGATGCAGTTGGTTTAGACAAATTCAACGCACTCACTCGCGAAGTTGCAGACTTCTGTAAGGTTATTACCAAAGAGGATGCGTTGGGCTCTATGGCCTCGCCATGGAATGGTCGCGCCGAAACTCTTGATCTCCAGGTCTCGCTTGCTTTGGGGTATTTCCTGGCACTCGTGAGAAGCCCGGATGTCTGGAGCTTGATCAAATACGACATTAGGCGCTCCCTGTTTGAACATATACTGTCTCTGGCTGCTTCGCAGTACCATGCATCCTCAACTGGATTGGAGAGAGCTCCGTTCCATGCGAGGTTCCTTCAAGCTTGGGCCAGTGTGGTGTGTCATGAATACCTCCTCAATGCGCCAGCCATTACCAGTGACTTGATTTTTGTGCTTTCGGAATGCGTAAAGAGCGATGTTTCCAACCGCAAGCTTTACGTTGAGAGTCTGCAGAGGATTCCCGCCCCCTTGGTTACTCGCCGCCAGAGGGCGGTCCTTTTGGACTTGCTACAAGACGTCATTCGCCAGGAGGATAACCCACTGGAAATTACGGTTGGTATGTTGTCGCTGATGGCCAAGTTGGCTGACATGCCCAAGTCCGGAGCGGCTTTGACCTGTGATTGGGAGCCTACGTGGAACGCTGCCAAAGCGGTTACTCTGCAGGGCACCGAAGTTGATCTCCAAATCATGAAAGCATTCAGGCACTTGCACAAGGCGGTTATCGCCAAGCTGCTTGTTCTCTCGGACGAGGAGCGAAGCAAGCTGTTCAAGAAGATGTACCGTAAAGTCACTTCCAAGGCGTCCAAATTGAAATCCATCGACCGCGACTCCATGGACTGCTTCTTCTTGCGGATTTCACTGTCGCAGCTGTGGGTCCATCGCCAACAACTGTCCGGTGTCCTAGACGAGACGGAGCTTGCAGCCTGCCGCCAGAAGGTGTTCGACATGATTGTGGCGGAAGTGAAGTCTGTCAAGGACCAATGCAAAAAACAGAAGTTGGAAGATACGATTACCCTGATCAAGGTTCTGGATGCGCTGGAAGACTTTGAAGACCTGGCCACCGACAACGTCGAAGTGGACAAATTCTTGTCGAAGATCGAGAGTTATGTTGAGAAATCGATCGACTCCGAGTCTCCCTTGAGAAGACTTATCCGCCGTCGGGTGCTGGTTGGCCGGGGAGGAGCGAACAAGGATATCACCTCACCTGTCATGCAGGTCGCTGAGACTCTCCCCTTGCAGCAATTGTACGGCGAACAGCAACAACTATTCATCCGCGCTACGCTGGAACGGTTCCGATCCATGTCCGTGGATAATCTGACTGGAGTCATCCAGCAAATTCGGAGTATCGGATTTGAAGGGGACAACGCCGCCTACCGCTTGCTTGTCGCCAGTTTGGCAGTTGCTTCGATGCCGGCTATTGAGGATAAGGAAAGCGCCGCAGCAAAGGAACTGTCGTCCCTGTGCACTGCGGTTACAGAGTCGATGCCCTGTAGCCAGAGCATCGAGCATTTTACCTTCGCTACGGAATGCTTGGATATGCTTCTCCGTACTCATACACGATGCATCGCGCAGTGGAACATTGACAACGTCCTGGCTGCGATTGCGGTCGCTGCCTCAAAAGCAGGCCCTCGGATCAGCACAGATTATGCCGCCCCGATTTACGTCCGCCTTTGTCGGTTGATGGGTGTACTTCTGGGTCTGCATCGCCAGAAGCTTGGAGGCCGTTTCCACCTGATCCTCCCGGCCATGCAGCGGTTGCTGAACTGCCTATTTGCGCGATCTCGGAAACGGAGTCGATCCATGCGATCGGAGAAGGGATCGACCGAGCAGCCGCTCTGGCTTGCACCGTTGCAAGCATCGCATGCTGTGCATTTTACCCGCTTACTCACATCCCTCTGCGACCCAACCGTGTCCGCCGTATCGCGACCCACCCAGTCCGGTCCTGGAGGACTAGAAGGCTTGACGGATCAGACGAAGAAAGCCAAGCGGATCGCAGGTCAGTACCTTCAGTACCTGATTATGGAGTACGCGCAGAGCTCCCTCCGCGGTTCCATGACGCCTGAAGTGAAAGCGGCGATTCTTCCGGGGTTGTACACGGCACTGGACGTGATGTCGCGGGAGACGATGCGGGCACTGAACGCAGGGTTGGACGCATCTGGACGGTCAGTGTTCAAGACCTTGTACGATGATTACATGAAGTTTGGAAAGTGGAACAAGGGGTAATACTGTATGCATACTGTACTTCCGGAGACTATATTTTGCATGAGATACCATTAATGCATTAGAATAGAGAATCAATTAATATTATTAATGATTCCAAACGCATAAGCCGATTTGATCATTGCACTACGGAGTACACTACGGAGTACACTACGGCGAAACATCCCACTCATACAGGATTCATCCATATCCAAGGCTGATCTTAGTGGGACTTACTAGTTCAGCTCTTCGCACCGCGATCAGCAACATCCCGACTGCGTCCATTGGTCAACTGCAAGACGACTCCAATCGCGAGTCGGAGAATATTAATCGTGCCCACACGAGTATTTTTGCTTTGGATCTGGCTTTGCAGAATTGCGCGGGCCATGTCCGGCGCAGGAATCAAGGGATTTAAGTAGCGCAATACCGGATGACGCTTTACTGAGATCCAGCACCCCCTCTTTCTCATTCTTTTCAGCATCGGAGAGCAGAGATACATCCGGTTAAAACTACAGTTTTCGATCGCGATGCTTTCGATCCTGATCGTCACGCTTATTGCGCTCTGTTCTTGGTACTTTCTGAGCCCGAAACGGCGCCTCCCACCCGGCCCAAGCTTCATCTCAGGCCTCATCGCAGGAAACAACGACTTTAAATCCTTCCAAAAATGGAATCAACAATATGGCCCGATCGTCAGCGCAAAGATCGGCACGCGAACTTACATCATCCTGGGCACGCGACAAGCAGCGCAAGATTTACTTGAAAAGCGTGGCAATATATACAGCGATCGTCCGCCATCGGTGCTGCTGGACAACTACCTTTCTAAGCAAATGGGCGCGGCGTTTATGCCGTATGGTCCTGAGTGGAGGCTTAATCGCCGGTTGCATGGGTCGCTGTTGAGCTCGAGGGCGGCAGATTCGTATCGGTATTTGCAGGATATTCAGAGTAGGATTTTGCTGCATGGGTTTCTGGGGAGTAATGAGCTTGAGAAGTTTCATCAGTATACTTCCGATGTCATGTTTACCCTTGTCTATGGGAAGGGACAGGGGAGAGATGATGATGACCATCGACGACTGGAGCATATCAATGAGATGGTTGCTTTTGTCCTGCAGGGAGCGTCGTTTGGGACGGCGATGCTGGAACTCTTCCCCGTTCTGGACCGCCTTCCGCATTTCTTCATGAAATGGAGGAAGAAGGCGGAGCAGCTGCATGAGAAGACTACGGGTGTGTATACTGAATGTTGCAATACGGCTCTCGGGGTGGACTGTTGGAACTGGTGCCATGAAGCGATGCAGAAGAAGGACGTTGTCAATGAGTTGCCCTGGGAGCATCTATGCTACGCGCTTGGGGATCTTTACGTGGCGGGTGTTCATACCAGCAAGATGGTGATGGAGATCTTCGTTCTGGCTTCTATCCTCTATCCAGACGCGGTGAAAAAGGCACACGAAGAGCTTGACTCGGTTATTGGCTCTGAACGACTCCCCTCGTTCGAAGATATGGAGCGTCTCCCATACGTTAATGCCTTTATCGTGGAGTTGCTTCGATGGAAGCCCATCTCCCCCATCGCCGTCCCTCATGCTGTCACACAGGATGATGAATACATGGGCTACTTTGTCCCCAAGGGTGCAACCGTCGTCGCCAACCAATACACAATCAACATGGACGAGAGCGTCTTCGAGAATCCGACAGCCTTCAAGCCCGAACGACATATTGGCAACCCCGATCCTCCCATTTCAGCATTTGGCTTTGGTCGCAGACGGTGCCCAGGTGAGAAGACGGCACGGTCGACTTTATTTATCGTCATTTCTCGTATGCTGTGGGGGTACGATATTACTAGTGCTGAGGGAGCCGAACGACCAACTGAAGAGTCAAATGCGGGTTCTGTAAAGGCTGACTTCCGCGTGAGAAGCCTTGAGCATCAGATGGTTATCGAGCGGGAGTTTGAGTCGGCTGATAAGGATGAGAAGAGGGTTTTGGGGAGTATGCGGGAGAGTATGCGGGCTAAGATATAGATTTATGATTACGGTATCCTACACTACGTTCCTTATATGTTAATGAGATCAGCAGCTAGAGACTTTTACTGAATATGAGAAGATTATGCCCAATTTCAAGTTCCATTAATTCCATGTATTCCATTTCAATAAAGTATCACTACCAGTATTCTCTGTCTTTCACATTCACAACCAGACCAAACTAAAATAACCCAACCAGACAGAGATGCATTCAACAACAACCAGGAAAACAGCATTCAAAAGGTACTTCTTCGACATTCGCAGTCTAGTCCACGCTTAACAGTTGTTGGACGGGCAGATACCGTCACCAGTGATGAACCGGTACGATCCGCCCTGGAGGTCGTCAAGAGGGAAGCAGCCACTGTCCGCATGGAGACCGGGCTGGCAGCTGCTCTGGCAGCCGCACTGGTCGTCCGGGGACGCAATCAGAGTAAAGGTGTTCCAGATCGGGTTACCATGGAACTTGACGGCCTTTCTGCCGGTTTGACGCAAGCAACCCGGGTTGGTCAAGGACACCGACATGCCGCAGTTGTTGCAGTCGGCGTTGTCACAGAATGAAGCCCAGCCCTCGGTGTCGGCATTGTTGTCGAGGATGCCCACGGTGGAATTGAAGAAGTCGACGCCGTTGGCTGAGGCGGTAGGGGCGGCGCGGATGAGGTTGGCTGCGGCCGCGAGAAAGATGATGGTTTTGCTAGTGAAGAGCATCTGGGTGAGATATCTTTGTTAGTATCTGTTGCTATCGAAGGGAGCGAGGATGGGGAAAATATCAAGCTTACCTTGGAGGAGTCTTTCTCTTTGCTGTGGTAGAAGAGAAGAGGGAAGTAATGAGAGAAGGATGGTATAGAATGAAGAGAAAAGAGAGAGAAAGAAGGGGAAACGAGGGCATTTAGATAGACCAGCTGGAGAGTTCTCATTTACTGGAATCACTGCCAACCCTATGGAGCTGTTTGTAAACAAAGCAGTTTATAGTGCGCCACCAAACAGTGAATGCTTGTTTATTTTTTAACAACCCTATGGAGCTACTCCAAGCTAAACCAAATTAAAGTGAAAATTCCTTTGTGATGAGTCTGGGCAGTGAATCTTTTGCTATTTTTCCCTAATACACTGCAAACGGCAGTGGAAGTCCAGACCAGTACAATTCTGCAAGCTAGCGCCTTTGTCTCTATGTTATCCCCCTGTGGACTCGAGAGTAATTTGTCGTCTAGTATAGGTCTAGTTGTCTAATTGGCTACTTGGCTAATTCGAGCCGCCGTACGGATCTGTTGAGTCCTCCTGCGGCTGGAAATTTCCTTTACCAACCGTTCGGGAAATCGAATCGACTTCAGGAATACCGTGGGAGATTACGAAAAGATGGCATAGCTTCATACAAGCGCCGTTTCTGGATAGTACAACCATTTCAAGCCTTGCACGACAGCTGAAGGCTTTCAAATCATGCCCAAATGGTCGTCATATCATTCTTCTTCATATAACAGGGTTCTGGAATAATATACAAGTTCTAGAGAAGTACTTCAAAGATATCCTAAGCATAGTATTGTTTGGCTACGTTGAAATAGGGTACTGCTAGTAATTATTTCATTTACATTTTCTGCAGTTCTGCCAAAGGTCCGCCAACCTTCTATCCTGTCACTATTCCGTATACTACCCCAACGTCCACACCGATATCATTTACCTTGTGATTATGTTGTCTTGTGTTGACGACGACTCGCCCTATGCTGGCACTCCGACCTCCTGCGATGACACGATTGATCCAAATTATGAAGCATCTTCAGACTCCTGGGAGTCTCCCAATCCAGTCAACATTCCAAAAAGAATAGTGCCGTACATGTCTGTCTGGGAATTCCTCCGGGAACTGAGCCTCAGAGGAATTTTGGATACGTGGCATCTGCCGGACGCCTGGAAATCTCTCTCGCAAACCCTTTCCGAGGATCGATCTGACCTCCACAAGGATACCGTCGAAGACTATAAGAAGGCAGTCGACATCATTCCAAGGTATGGAAATGATTTAACTCTATTGGTTGCTGTTGTATCGGGTATGGTAGATTTTGGGAGATTACTACGTGATGATAACGTCGGGGCTATAGCCAGAGGGAAATGGGCCGACGTGCCATTGCATACTGTCATGGGACCCCACAGTATACCTGCCCCGTGTCCAGGCATTACGATTGGCTTTAACCTGTCAGATGTTATGCTAATTTTGGCGACAGCGATAGAGCATCTAAAGCCCTTTTCCTGCCCTGCCATGGACAATCCTTGCATACTATTTCCGGTATTTACCCTAGAGGCAAAGGAAATACGACAGGCAAGTCTCTACTCGCATATATCGAATCTACACAACGGCTCCACCATGCTGCGGAATCTACGGGAATTTCACTCCTTAGCGACCAGTGAACATGATTGCCGGCAAGACTTTTGACGGCAAGGTTTGCGTACTCACAACATCGATCACCGTTGATATTATCAAGATTGGTGTCCATTTCACATCGATGAATGCCGAAAGACTCGAATTTCACTCTGCCATAGTGGGCCTTTGGCTCACAACGACGAGTTCATGGTCAGAGATCATCAAGAACATTCGCAGCGCCATCGACAGAGCCCTATCAATAAATCGCGATTAGATAATAAAGGATCTTCAGCGCATTGCTGGTGGACTAGCGATGCAAAATTCATCAACACAGGGGAATAGACGATTCGTGGAAACTCCCCAAAGAATGGAAATCTCTCGCAGACCCTTTGTCAAAAGAACGAACGGACCTCACAAGATTCTCGAACCAAGAACATGAGGAAATGGCCGAGGTTGTATGGAAAAGCTGGAACAAGGGCAGCCTGGTGGTCGGAGTTATGTCTTAACATAGTTAGGTTTAGAAAACTACTACGAAACAAGGAAGTTGGGGCTATAGCCAATGCCCAATGGGCAGATATACCGCTGGCTGCTCCTTGGGGTTGGATGCCTCGCCAAATACCAGCCCCCTGTCCCGACATCACTGTCGGTCTGAACACGTCGACCGTCAATTATGCAGCAGAAATCCGAAGCTTGGAGCCATATGCTTGCCCGGTGATTAAAGATTCATTTATACTATTTCCCGTTTTCACCTTAAAGGTCAGAGGTATACCACACGGCATGTTCTACCCTCGTTCACAGAATCTATATAACGGAGCAGTCATGCTCCGCAACTTGCGTGAGCTACATTCAACAGCCAGAGGCGAGGAGAGCTGCGTAAAAGATTTTGATCACAAGGTGTTCGTTCTGACTACATCAATAAGTGTTGATACTGTTGAAATCAATATCCATTTTACCGAGGTCGAAGGAGGAGTACTGACATTCAAGTCGGCTATGATGGACATATGGCTTACACAGAGTTCGGAAGACATGCCTAAAATGATAACGAATGTGAGGAATGCCATTGACAAGGCAATATCCAGCAATCAGGAATGTATAATGCAAGATCTTCAATGCATTAGTGAGCGATTAGCTCTGCAACCACCATCCAGTCCGTCTTGTTTCGGCAAAAGGGCCAGGGCTGATAGCGAAGACGAGGTTGAAACAGAGCGTGATGGCTGCGGAAAAAAGTTACGCAGCGATGCTGGGTGGAAGAAAACTTAGTGCTAACAGCAACCAAATCAGCCATTCTTGTCCTGGGTTTCTACTATTATATATTTATATCCGTACTGCTCACTCTGATTGGTCGATGGCGATTACTCGATGAGATCGAGTCACGGACTCACGGTGAGATTGCAGATTAGATAGCGGAGATAACGACCATGTGCGATAGCAAAAATCCGAGGACGAATCGAGACGACGAAAACAACGCTATGATAAGCTGTTCAGAAAGGCAGGAAACGGTCGTGCGCTTGGCTGTAATGGGTTCGTGCTACGGGATGTCCTATCAAGAAAGCTTGCCGGATGACGGATGACAGCTATGATGTCGTCCGGCAGGGATCTTTATATCATGGGGGGTTCTCTCGTATGTTGTTGATTTTGGCTTTAAATATATTGTTTATTTTATATCGAGCTGGTTCTCTCGTCATCATCTATTATTATTATCCATCATGCCTCGTTTAAAGGTCAAGCAGCTTCTGAAGAAGCTTGAAGTCGCCAATGAGCCCGGGTTGAGCAATGGCCAGTTGATGTTAACGAATGACGACTTGCGGCCAGGTGAGTTCTTCTATTGATAATATAAGAAATGAAAAGGGCAAGAGAAGCTGACACTGTACAGTCGATCCCGAACGACGTCAATGGAAATGGCTCAACTTCGTGGCGTTCTGGGTGGCAGATTCGTTGAATATTGTGCGTTCCCCATATACATCTCCAAGAGAAAAGAGCTAACGGATATTGTGGATAGAATACATGGATGATCTCCTCATCAATGATTCAAGATGGCTTGTCCTGGTGGCAGTCGTGGATCTGTGTCTGGGTGGGATACTTCATTGCGGCCTGCTTCGTCTATCTTACAGGTCGGATTGGAGCTGTATACCATATCTCGTTTCCCGTCGCGGCTCGAGCGTCCTTCGGAATTTGGGGGTCATTCTGGCCAGTGCTTAACAGAGTGGTTATGGCTGTGATTTGGTTTGGTGTGCAATCATACATTGGAGGTACGATATTCCTGACTCGGTTCCGAATACAAATGCTAATATATGGACAGGCGAATGCGTGACATTGATGATCCGATCTATCTGGCCCAGCTACGGAAACCTACGCAACACCCTCCCATCGAGCGCCGGCGTCGACACGATGAACTTTGTCAGCTTCTTCCTCTTCTGGCTCTGCTCACTCCCCGCCCTCTGGTTCCCGATTCACCAGATTCGCCATTTGTTCACCGTCAAAGCGTACTATTCGCCCGCTGCAGCCTTCGCCTTTTTTGCCTGGGCCATTGCCCGTGCCAAGGGCCTTGGACCCATTGTGCATCAACCAAACACCGTTTACGGGAGTACACTAGGCTGGGCGGTTGTGAAAGCATTGATGAGCTGCTTGGGAAACTTTGCGGCCTTGATCATGAACAACCCTGATTTCTCGAGATTCGCGCGGAAACCTAAGGATGCTCTGTGGTCGCAGTTGCTCACCATTCCCTTGGGCTTCGCTATCACCTCGTTTATTGGAATTATTGTTTCGTCGTCTGCTTCGGTTATTTTCGGTCAGTCGGTTTGGAATCCGCTCGACCTGTTGGGAATGTTTCTCGATGGTGCTAGCTCTGCTGAGCGATTTGGGATCTTTGTTATTTCGACAGGGTTTGCCCTGGCTCAGTTGGGAACCAACATTGCTGCAAACTCAGTGTCCGCTGGTACGGATATGACTGCTTTGCTTCCACGGTATCTCACGATCAGACGTGGTGCGTATATCTGCGCGGCAGTTGGTTTGGCGATGTGTCCGGTAAGTCTTATCTTTACCACCGTTCTCCCATAAAAATTGCGAAACTAACAACTTATAGTGGAATCTCGTTTCTTCATCAAACCAATTTACCACATACCTCTCCGCCTACTCCATCTTCCTCTCCTCCATCGCAGGCGTAATGCTCTGCGACTACTACATCATCCGCCGCGGCTACCTCAACATCCACGACCTCTACTCTGCCGAGAAAACCGGAATATATTACCACTACTTCGGATTTTCCTGGCACGCTTACGCCTCCTACATTGCCGGAATCCTCATCAACATTGTCGGTTTCGCGGGAGAAGTTGGCCGCGATGTACCCATTGGCGCACAATATATATACAACATCAATTATTTCTCCGGGTTCCTTGTTTCAGGTACTGTATACTTTATCTTGACGAAGATTGTCCCCATTCCGGGGAAGAGTGAGAAGTGGCGTGAGGTGGATATTGACGAGGAAGTTACTTGGGGACGGGATGTTGTGGGTGATGATACTGAGGAGAGGACTTCGTTAGAGTCTGGACAGAAGAGTCCTAAGATTCACTCTAAAGCATTACCATAGACTGGCTATTGTATATTCAACGATTTCCTTTAATGATTAATGACTTTGATCTAGCTTATCAGGCTTCAATGCTGAATTTGGCAGGTGCTAGTTTTATGTTGAATTTGGAAGACGACAACATACCTAGTTTTTCCATATCCATAGGATATAGCGCCTCATCGGTTATCTTAAGAGACCCGTGCCCACGATAGTCTAGCCGGAAAATCTTTCACACATCTCGATCATCAAGGTGCCGATTCTCTGACGGCTGTGGGAACAGAGGATTAGTACCGAGCTTGGGCTTGGGGGCTTCCGAGTCCATAGCCAGCATTAAGTTTAGTCCATCTTGGATCACTTCTGATGCATCTTTGTTCAGGGTCTTTTCACTTAGGTCCTGTTTGAATTCTAGTAGACGGAATATTGGCACGAAGTTTCTTGTTGAATGCATGGCCAATGATGCGTTGGAAGTAGGCAAGACTGATTTGGCAAGTGTTGTAGATTAGGCATATTAAGGAACAAGCAGCAAGTGATTTACTGGCATTTTTCACTATCCTACATGGCATAAATGCCCTTACAGGGCAATAAAATGAACAAATAGGCTCCAGTATCTCCTTCAATATGTTGAATTATACGCGAGTGCCTAACAATTAACCATTGGTACCTGGATAGAAGAATTTTAATTGACCAAGAAGGTGCCCGTGATATAAAAAGTGGTACAAGTACATCATAACCGTGTTTGGAAATTTCCTTATTGGGACCCCGAAATCGCCCGACATCATATCCCTACCAATATCTGGGCCATTACCATGCTATAATGATTTTCAATGGATCAACAACCGAAATGAATCAACAAATCCGATCAATTGAGTCATTCGGGGTCCTCATTTGGAGCATAAACAGTACAACAACATCGGGGAGCTGAACGTGGCAAGAGGCACAGCCCCGGGTAGAAACTATATAAACCCCTCCTCCCCCCAACAAACCACAATGCCATTCCTCTCTTCTTCATCCCTCTATCTCTCCCGAGGACTCCACTGTAAGCCGTGCAGTGCTCGATACCGAATCCACCGTTTAAGCCACCAGATCCACCGCGTCCCCACTGTTCAGCTGATCGTCGCCAGATCTCAGCTCTCATATTGTCCGCATCCGACGCCACAACATTATCACACATTTGCACCACATCGAAAGGAAATGTCGTCCGGTGCTCTTCCTCAGACTCTTCGCTCCATCACGGCCACCAAAATCGGTGAGCTTTCCAAGCAGCGTGCTCTTTTCGACCAACGGAAAACCGAGATCGCCAATGCTGCTGCTGCCGCCCCGAACCTGCGAGCCAAGGCCCAGGTTTTGCTGGAAGGCGTTACCAAGCTCAAGGGACACCCGAATGATGCGTTTGACAGAGAGCAGCTAGACGCTACGGAAACAGATCTCTCCACTCTGATGATTGATGATGGTTCGGAGCGGGCTGCCCATATCAATATCCGCCGGTTTCTCTTACAGGGACAATATGACCCATCTGTTTCCGACTGGGCGCTACAGGATTGGATCTCGGAGTTGGAGCAGGAGATCCAACATTTGGTTCTGAAGCATCAACACGCTTCGTTCTACAGTGGCTTGGTTACGGAGTGGTTGGCGAATCTGGATGAGACTACTTCGGAGGAGCCTGAGGCTGGCAATTCTGGCCGGTCGGAAATGCATGAGCAGCGCGCGACGTGGGAGGGCTATGTTTTCAACAAGACGAATGTCGACGCGGACCGCATCCACAGTTATCTGGACGACCTGTTCACCAAGACTCCTCTTACACAGCAAGCGCTCAAAAAGTTGCGAGAGAGCGTTAGTCGCTTTGGGGGGGACCTTTCTGGACGGAAGAAATGGTTCACTGCGGATGTGCTCAAGACGGTTACTGAGGCGCTGTTGAAATCGGATCTTCTCACCAAGGATAAGACGATCATTTTGAAGGAGTTCATGCGTAATCCGGCAGTCACTCAGGAGGTCGTCGACGTGCTCAACATGCGTCTTGCGGCTCTGGACAGCTGGGATTGGCCCGCTGGCGAGGCCATCCCCTTGGAAATGCGTCGACAGCTCAACGGCAAGTACCGTGTGTACATGGATGAAGACCTGCTCGACAGTATCATGTTCCAATTCCTTGGGCTTGAGTGGTCTGTGAAGTTCCGGGAAGTGTTCAGTACGTTCCGCGACAGTCAGGCTTGGTATACATTGCGTGAGCATATCTCCGAGCGCGAGAAGAACCGTCGCCGATATTATTCCATAGATCAAACGAAAGTCTACACCACCAAAAGTGTCAACGACCATCGACAAAAAACATACAAAGATCAGTACTTCATGACTCAACTGCCCACTCCAATGGAATCGGGTGTTCCAGATTACGACGGTGAAGAGAGCGTTGATTCAGCTTGGGGGGAAACGCAAAAGGAAAAGCAAAAGAATCCCCTAGAGACCAAGCACTCTCTACTTCACCTTCTGGTAACCGAATCGATTATCCAATCTACCCTCCATGGCCAGTTCACAGCCATCCGCTCCGACTTCAAGTACTTTGGTCCGTCGCTGCCCCACGAGACGATCCTGACTGTCCTATCTTACTTCGGGGTTCCCGACAACTGGATTCGCTTCTTCAAGATCTTCCTCGAGATGCCTATGAAGTTTGTCCAAGATGGATCGAACGCCACGACCCGAGCCCGACAGCGCGGCGTCCCCATGAGCCATGCACTCTCGGATTGCTTCGGGGAGGTTGTCTTGTTCTGCATGGATTATACCGTGAACCGGCACACAGATGGGGCTTTCCTCTACCGTCTACATGATGACTTTTGGTTCTGGGGAAATGAGGCTACCTGCGTCAAAGCTTGGAAGGCGATGTCAGACTTTGCTAGAACGGTGGGCCTGGAATTCAACGAGGAGAAGACGGGCACGGTGCAGATCACGAACGACAATGATCAGGCACCGCCAGGGGCTTTTAGCAAAGAGCAGAAGGCTGCTGATGCTGATACAGTTCTGCCGGCCGGCGACATTCGCTGGGGCTTCCTCAAACTCGATGCGCAACAAGGCCGTTTCATTATCGACCAGGAGCAAGTGGACAACCATATCGCAGAGTTGAAGCACCAGCTCTCGTCGTGCAAGAGCATCTTTGCCTGGGCACAGGCGTGGAACAGCTACTTTGCGCGCTTCTTCCCCAACAACTTTGCCAAACCCGCCGTGTGTTTCGGGCGAGACCATATCGACATGGCTATCTCGACCCTCGGCCGCATCGAGCGCACAGTCGTCGAATCCTTCACAGGTTCGCCTAGCGGCGTGACGGATTATCTTCGCAAAGTGATCGCAGACCGGTTCGGCATTCACGAACTCCCGGAGGGATTCTTCTACTTCCCGGTTGAACTCGGTGGCTTGGAACTCGCCAATCCGTACATTCCCCTTCTAGCCATGCGCGAGGATATCAAGCAAACGCCGCAGGGCCGCCTCCAACGAGTCTTCATCGAAGATGAAGCGAAATACAACGCGGCTAAGAAGAGATTCGAGGAATCCGGCCCTAATACCTCTGTTGTGGGCAGTATCTACGATGACAGTGACGACGAGGAAAGACCATCATCGTCGACAAATTTCCCCACTCTGGATGAATACAGACGTCACCCCGAAACCTACAGCGCTCCTCTCCTCAATGCATATGAAGACCTCACTCGCATCCCCGAGGAAGCTAGCATCAAACAATCCCCCAACTTCCGAGGCACGCAGTCTTCCCTGCAGCAGAAACTCGTGGACGATGACAACGTGAAGATCTCTGGAGAGTGGGATGACATGTCGGCGTACTGGCGCTGGACGGCAGAGTTGTATCACCGTGAGATGGTCGCGAGATATGGTGGACTGGCGGCAGTGAACCGGGAATTCATGCCGTTGGGTGTTGTCAAGACGTTGAAGGAGGGACGCATGAGGTGGGAGAATTAGATTAAGAGCTACGGTTTTACTCCGTAAGGGAGCTTTGTGTTACTAGTTATGACAAAAAAAACTGCAGTGCAGTATGAAATGATGAATGATATCTCTACTTTCGATGACAGATCCAAATATAACATGGTCATTTGACTTGATCACCTGAGTACATGCATAAACTAAATGGTCCAGAACCATACTAGCAACATTCCACGTAGAGGTACCCGTATCCCTTGCTGAAACATCGACTGTCATGTATATTTATAGCGGTGTTATGCATAAAGTAACCATACCAACCAGCTTTACAGTTCCTTACAGTTATCGCAATTAAACTCAGCCAGCCACTTCAATCCTCGAATGTACAGCATTCCGAGTCGGTGGGGCCAGCGAGACTGTAACAGCTCGATGGAGTATCCGTAGGTACTAGACAAAGAATGAATGAATGGCATGATCCAGCCAGGGACATTTGAAAGGCGGCTGGCAACGTCCGGAAATGTTCTAGAAGGATTTTGGAAGTGTCAAGCACCATACCATTTACTATTATGTGTACAGAGGTGATTAGTGACTGAATCATCTGTAGTTAGCGTACTGGCTCCCATTTTGTAATAACGGGATGATTCAGTGTGGTGACAGGGATGATGACTCAAAGCAGTTACAGAGCAAGGTATGTGATCTATGCAATGCAAGGACCGCCTGCAACGGTTTTATCAGATAATAGCGGGATATCGGATGTATTTATTGTAAAGATACCAGTCACGTAGGTACATTTGTACTGCGTACAAGTACATCTGTATGGAATAAACTAGATGACCTATCCTGTACACATTCCGTACGAGGATATCTGCTGCGTACGGAAGTTTCGAAGCGAAACGAGACGAAACGCATCGTAAGTTGGTTAGCTAGCCTTGCTTAGCAACGGTCGGCTATTCACCCGGCAATGCTCCGTACAATAGCTATGATAATTACAGGGGTATGGTCTCGGGGTAAGTTTCCAGCCGTCGGTGTAAAAGCCCAGAGGCAGAGCATAGAAAGTGGGGAGCGTGAGCGTAACGGTGAAGAATATTCCCAGAAAGGACTACCCCGGGAAATAAAAAAAATAAAAAAAAGTTTCACCCCGTGCAGTTGGGCAGGATACAGAAGTTAACTTTGAGTCAAGAAATCCTGCAGCAGTCGTATGGCGGATATCTCCGTGGGAAATTACCGAAACTGGAAAATAAACTTTTTTAGCACCAAGATCGCTTTGCGGAGGATCGGTAGACAAGGAAGATGAAAAAATAAGAGAAAGCCACCGCACAGACAATTACCAAGGCTGACCGAGGCTGAAGATACCGTGTCCTAAGCACGGATGTGGCGGAAGGTTTAAGACAGACACACGGATCCCTCGCTAGTGATAGCCAAGCTTGGGCGTATTCCCGGGAATCGCGATATCGGAAACTTGGTTTTCTGGTACCGCACAGTAGTGTGCAAGCGAAGGGTTCTGGAAACAGGAAAGCACAGGGCCCAAAGAACGGTCGTTGATTGGATCACTGGGGTCACTGCTATTTTTAGTCGCAAATTGGAGATCTAAGATGGAGTTCGGAGATCGACTGATCAAACTGTAACATCTGATAATGCGTCTCATTTCGGTTCAATTGATGCCGTTATCTCTAGCGAGTCAGATATGCCACGCCGTCTAAACTTTCTGTACAGCACATGAGCACTTCCTGGAAAAGTTGCCGGAATCTGACAGGCAATATCGTGGCCTAGTGCTGACAGCTGAGCTCAGGTGGCTTGTTACCGGAGCGGACCGTCACAGCCTGAGAAAAACGGCGGAAGGTAGAAAATAAAAAACCAATTGGCTCCGTCTGACAGTATGTACCTCGTATAAATCCACATCCCTGTATCCACAGCTCGTGATTCGAAACTGACGAATCCTCAAGGTGGGTGTCTTCCAAAGAAAAGCGAGACAGGGTGTAATCTCGGAGTCTCAGCCTCAACTCCGTGGATTCGCAGTTGCCGATATTACAGTGTGCGATGATATTCTCTGTAAAGGGCACAAAATGATACGAGTAGCGAGGGAGGATCGAACTTGGTATCGGATTATCCGGATATCGCATTCAAATGTTTCTTTCCAGCCACAGTGGGTCTATGGCCCATAGCCTGACAGAAATAGAGTCACCATGATCATAGATCTGCCAGTGTTGGTATTATTCGATAGTATCGTAGTAGTGGGTGCAGCAAGTAGGCGGGTATTCCTGGGTTCGAGGAGGGCTTCTGAGGACCGGGGCAGTAAATCTGGACTCGTCAAGTTAGCCAAATCGGAATAGAGCATGTATTGATACAAGGCTGTTGTCAGTAACACCCCAGTAAACCACTCACTTGCTATCACATCGTCTCAGGGAATCAAACACAACCAGCATCAGGAATGACGGGCAATCGAATGACACTTGCAGATATCCGGTAAATGAGCAGGCTTATGGCGCAAAAAAGACAACAGATGATATTGACGATGACGAGGAGTTGATTTTGGATGGGGCTGAAGCTGCATCTATCCCCAAACACGTGCCTCGTACTCTGCATCCTGGACAATGTGACTGATGAGTTAACACGTCATCCTCCAGTAATCCCAGCACAATGGCCATTATCGGAATTGATTACCGTTTCATGATGGCTGCGGTATTATCGTTTACTTGCACCTGGTGCATACTGTCAAGGTCCAGCTGTTTCGAGATGACCATGGAATAGACTGGTCTTACCTTTATGACAGGAGATCCTGTCCCATACTGTTGGAACTGTCATGTATCAATCTGTCGTACGGAATACAATACCAGGTTTTGCAATACCGTACAGTATCAATTCATTAACGTCCAAATGACTCATGTAGTGGTCTGTAAGCGATCTTTGCAAAGGTGCGGGAATCGGAAATGCCAAGGGATGCGCATCATCAGTGCAAACGTCCCCGGATTATGTCTACTATTGGCGTATAAGCAGGTGATAGTAGTGAGGACTGTGCAGGCTTTATGGTCTTTTTCTTTTCATCTCCTGTAGATCGCTCTTATTTGTCATTAATATTTGCTTGCTAGATGGCAGGTATTACCTATGGTTTGTGTACAGAGGGCTTCCCCACAAAAGCGTTTTCCCCTGAGTCAAACCAAGGTAAGCTTACAATGTTACGCGAAATACGCGTACAAATACAGTTATGACATGACAATAATGGCAATACACGCTAATGCAGCAGATGCAGTAACCAGTATGGCGGGATGCAGGGATTATTGTCTTTTTTTTTTTTTTTTTTTTTGAACCTTTTGTGCTCTGCCGCGTCGGAGAAAAAAAATGTAAGAGGCTTAATCGAGGGTCCATGATGTCATTCTTTTTTCATTGCTTAATTTTATTTTATCCCTTTCTTTTTTTTTTTCTTTTTCTGTCGCGTTTCTTGATTGTTTGCAAAATGATATACAGAATGAGCGCACAAGTATTAATCATGCCATGAAAAAAGGAGGAAATTACTGAGGTAGGTCGGTCGCATTAGGGGAGGGGAACGGCCGGGGGCACTTGCAGACAGAAAAATGTGATGATCGTAGCCAAGGAGTTCGGATGCAAGATCACAACAGAAAACAGACACAAACAAAGCTGTCAATTGTGGGCCATAGCGTTGAATTAACCACCAATATGAACAAATGTCTGTAAATCGCTCAGGAGAAACTTATCGTATCACTGTAGCTAACCGAACGGCAGTGGACTGTAGTACTCGGCAGTGCTGCTCCATACTACCGAGTACTAGAGCAGTTCATCACAGTTTAGGGCAGTGATTTATTGAGGTCTGAAACACCAGCGTCAAGTTACGGGGCAGGGCTCTGTGCTTTAGGGCTTTCCCCTCAGCCAGTCATATTCTCGCTGCTCCTCTATTCCCACCCTCCTTGGCTTCGTGGCACGTCACAGCACGGCTTGATCGTGCCCGTGGGAGTCTGGCGGCAATTTGGCAATCAATCAGGTCGTGTTTTTTTCTTATTCGTTTGATCATCAGGATTATCAGCGCACAAGTCGTTCTCTGTATTTGTACACGGCGATTAATACTGGATTGGATGGAGCACCGGCGCTGCCGAGTACGCTGTACTGTGTGCGGTCAGACCCAGAAACGCCCCCGCCAGGAGCACGCGAGATTCAACGATAACAGCGGCCAAAAAAGATGATCAAGATGATCGCGTACGGGCTGCTCACCGTACGGAGTACTCCGTCCATGAGCGCTTACCTATACAAGGTATTCCGTCCGTACGGCGCTGCTTGGGAGGGGTAAGTTTCCATATTACAGTACCGGGCATATACCAGGCTTGACCTCTCGAACCACTTACAGAATACTCTACAGGGCAGGACCTTGAAGTGATCCGCGAACTGTCAATTAATCAATCAATCACTTTCGTTCGTTTCCTCCCGACGGTCCGCAGCGTAGCTAGCCGCTAACTTCTTCACCCCCCTCTTTCGGCCGCTCTTCTCCGGGCACTACGCCGCTGTACATATCTCTGCACTATGACAGCAGCGAGTTTTTTTTTTTTTTTTTTTTTTTTTTTCGGAATTGATGACATATTACTTGATGGATTGATTGTCGTTCCGCTACAGCCGCGACTTACCCCATACTGCAACTTGCTATGGAGTAAGTACATGGTACAGATCACGTTGTGCACGGTTCGGTCGGTAGCGGTAGGACCGGATGATGGCGGCGCTTTCATCAAAATATTCCGTAGCAAGCAGTGCAATAGTACGGCGCTTTACTATATGAAGGGATCTCAACATACCGACTAATGTGCGCTTCCTATAAAGGCAGTAAGCAATGTACGAAAAATTTATGCTAACGGCAGAGAAAGAGAGAGAGAGAGAGAAGACGGTAAAGAGGGAGCACGCTAAAACTCGTTGAGGAATTCCGAGTGATACGATAAATTGCGACAATTGGCAAGAAGATCCGACAATTGCCCGAGTACCAACCTCTACTCTGTACACGGTCAGAATACGATGTCTACCCATTATTGTGGATGCAGTTGATAAGGCATTTGCATTTGCATTTGCATCCCATTCCACATGCAGCGGTTCTTCTGCTTGGTTGGTCAG